GCCTGAGAGCATCTTGTACTTTTTTTTTACATGGAGTGATCCATAGTATTGAGCTAGAAATCATAGAATATGCTCTTTCCTCATATGCATTAGCTCTTCTGCAGAAAAGGGTCTATTCTGATTTACCCATCCCACCTGTTGAAGTCTATTGAGGAACTTGTTTTTATTTGCTTGGATGTCTTTGCTTCAATGGAATGAGTTTCTACAAGCTCTGTATCAAGACATTTTTCCCATCTTAACCTTTTTTTTGCATAGTTTCAATAAACAAGTATAAAATTTAAGTTAGAAGTATTAAAGGACATTGATTATGATATTTATTCAAACTTAAATTATCGGACTCCCTTCGGGTTTTATGTATGGTTATTCAAGAGCGAAGTTAGAGCTTTGTGCATTACTTTGATTGTTTTTTGCCTTTTGAAAAGGGAGTGAAATCCTTAAGATTAAGTCTGTGCTTGACCATGTGGCGGAGATTCTATATCGAAAGGAGCAGGAGATGAATGTAACATTGGAAGACGAAGCTTGAATATTTTTAGAAGATAAGTCTCGAAAAAAAATTTCAGAGTATTAGAAGAGAAAGAGATTATCGATAGAGGGCCTCTAAGTTTGAACGATCCAGTGGGAATTCATCCTTATAGCATGTCAACAGAGTTAGAGCAATGACTTACCCCTACGACTGCTAATCCAAACTTACCGACTGAGGAATTTATTTTTGATGCATATTTCACTTCCTTGCTTTTTAAATTTATGGATTTTTTCTATTGATTAGATATCGATCATATAGGTGAATTTGAAATCCAGACTTTTTTGCCAAGATGAGACTCTTGGAGATCTGGTGCAGGTGGAGGGTTTGCCCCCTAGAGATCAAGCTGTCGATAATATGAATTTAGACTGGAGCGATGCCGCTCCATTTGTTAGAGGTAATGTAATGTCGCTATATCCATTTGGAGTTTTTTTCCTTAATGAATATGAAAATTTATTGCTTTTAGAGGTGTTGACAGAGCAAGAAAGAAGGGAGCTTGAAAAAAAAATAAAATAGAAGTCAATGATCCTTAAAAAGGCTAGTCGTAGGAGTTTGGGATTGCTATAAGCAGGCTTTCACTATGAGATGAGAAAATTCTAACAACCTTTCATTAATGAACCTGAGCCCTATTTATAGGCTTGGGTTGGGCTAGGTGAGCTTGGGAGGAGTTGGAGGCATCAATGACTCGTCTCTTGATGATGAGACATGGTCAATGTATGAAGCCAATAGAGAATTGTCACATGTTTTGTCAACTTTCGTGTGATGTCCATGGCACACCACGAATTGTTTGAGTGAATACAATCTGAGCTTTTAATGCAGTTAAAATAATTGAGGTGCTTATGTAGGTAAATCAATGGGAGCTAGCCACTTGGCTTGTTAGTTTCAAAAATCATTGGTCAAGAAGTTGATCCTTGGGTTGGCTTGGAATTGGTGACAACTTGGCTTGACATTGGCTTCAATTTGGATTGACATTGCATTGGGTTTGGGCTTAGAAAAGATGGCGTGATCTTAGGCCAAGGTGGTTTGAGCAATTGGGTTAAAAGGTAGCTTGGGATGGCTTGGGATATGCAATTGTTTGGCTTCTTTGGTGTGGTCATTTGACTAATGAGAATGCTTGGTTTTGGTGATAATGGTGTGGGAAGGTTCTGTGGATTGAGGGATTTGTGAGTGAGTGGAAATTTCGGTGGAATTTAATTTTATTTTGAAAATGAGAGAGTTTGAACATAATTTAGTGGTTTGTGTAGTGATTTAGGGTGATAGTAGGTGAGTGTAGTGATGGGTTTAGTGGTCGTTTGAGCAGCGTCGGTTTTGTGGTCATTAAGTGGCGAACACTACCGTTCAATATTTGCATCGGATTTTGCATCTAATTTGCATACGAAAATAAAGAAAGTGTGTATAGAATTGCAATGGAATTAGCGTTTTATTCTTGTCAAAATAAGCAACACAAATACTTTATTTTTCTATCGTCGAACTAGTCTGATGCAAATTCAACAAAAAATTGATGCAAATAACATTTAATACTCAACAGGCGTGCCTACATTTCATTTCTTCTTTTCACGCTCTCTCGTCTTCCCTTGCCCAAAATCCTTGCTCTTCCCTGTCCCTCTCCCTCACAGTTTCGCTCAAAACCATCATCTTCTCGAGCGAGCCATCACGATACAGTCACCATTACAATTAGTTGGGAAGGTATCGAGAGTTACATCTCACAGAGACTACTGAAACTCCTGTATTTCTTATCCTTCTGCTCCGCTCCAATCAGAAAATATTGAGGAAAGTAATTCTATTTGCGCCGATCTTTTCATTTTAATTTTTTAAAAGTGATTGGGTCTTTTGGCATAGGTAATGTCGTGTGTCTGTACAAATTGAAGTTTAGGTGTTAGGTTTGTACATACATAGGAATTTAGTGATACGTATATAAGATTTGACATAGGTTATGTGGTATGTATGTATAAATTGAAGTATTGGTGTTAGGCATGAATATACATAAAAGTTTAGTGGCATGCATGTAAATATTGTAGTGTCGGAGTTAGGTTTGTACATACATAAGATTTGAGTTATATATATGAGTTATATGCATAGTTAATGTGGTATGTAGCTATAAATTGAAGTTTTAGTGTTAGCTAGGTATGTATATGCATAATAGCTCAATAGTATGCATGTAAATATTGAAGTATAGGTGTTAGATTTGTATATACATAAGAATTGAGTAATATGTATGAATTAAATGCATAAATAATGTGGTATGTTCATGTATAAATTGAAGTTTATGGGTTAGGTATGTATTTACTTATTAGTGGAATTCAAGTTGATTGGTTGAAGAGAAGCAATATATGCATTGGGTCTTGTTCAAATTGATGGTGATATAGAAGGAACCTTTTTCATCGCCATGGTAAAGAAAATTCGTTAAGAATAATCTCCTTAAATTTGCATATTCTAATGCTTCTTGCAATAGATCAACCATTATCGCTATGGAATTCTAAGCAATAACAAATACGAAGTGGATATCTTTCAACCAATGGACTAGGGACACTTAGCTATAGAAGGATCAACAACGATGACAATGATTCCCCAATTGACCCTTATAGTCGACTCATTTGACACTATACAAAAATATTGAACTTTTTTTAATAGTCATGGACTGGTGATACTTAACAAATGTAAAAAGTGAACTTTTTGTTTTGCTTTTGCTATATACGTCATACTTGTTCTGTTTTTTATTTTTGCTTTAGACATAATTATGATATATTTCCTGTATAGATTTTGCACATTCCTCTTTTTGCTTGTGCAGACCATTCTTGATTATTTTGGTTGTTAGTCTTGCTACAGATGACCACATGTGGTGCTGATGATCACCTATCTTAGCGATCGGATGTTCTTCACACTATAATAAATACTTACAAGAACATGAAGAAGTGCATATCTTCTTCTACACATGTTGTTGCTTTCCCTCCTGTTGTTCCTGCCACATCTGGGCTTTCTCCTGCACATATTTGACTACCCTCCCGACAGGTGAATGTAAGTAAAAAATTGATTTATCCATTTTTATTTTGACTCTTAATGTTTATTATGTAGGAGTACAAGCAGCTCCAGGAGAGGTAGTTGACCTCCCATGTATTGGTAGTCAGTCTACTACTATACAGTTTTAGTTTGAGATATGAACGCAGGGAGCAGGGAAGAAGAAGGTCATCATCTCTTGTGCTTCTGTGGGTGACACAAGCTCGTCACACCCAATACTGTGGAGCTTGCTAGGCAGGTCGCTGCTGTTAATAAAATGTTTGACATATGTGTGAAGGACGATAGCGAATTGAGTGGATTATAACACACCTGACGAAGATTATCGAAGGTCTCCAAAAAAAAAACTAACGGTGACTGTTGTAGTCGAGGAGGAGGATGAGGAGGGGGATTAGAAAGATTTTTTATGTATTTTTAATTTAGAAATGTTTGAACTTATATTGAGGGTGTAGATGTAAACTTCTGATAAATCAGATTTGTGACAATATCTCTTTTTTCATTAATGAGATTTTTTCAGAACAATGAGTTGTGATATGGTTGTATAGAATGTTATTGTGATGTGAATTGAATGTTGTGTGCGAGTTGTAAAAATGTAATTGATATTTTGAAATTTTTTTTCTATTTTTGAGTTTTGCTTCCGTTTTGTGGCAAAAATTCGATGTGTCGTTCATCGATATTATCCGCCATAAATTTGACAGCAATCTGTCGATATTCTTTATCATATGATGTTTCTAGACACAAAATTCGACTCACGTGTAGTTACATGATGCGACGATCCAAAAAATGACGCTAATTATTTATGTCGGAATATTTCAATGCAAACTTGACGGAATTAATATTATCGGCCCCCAAATTACATGCAGTAAAAATCAAATATAAATCTGACGTAAATCCGACGATAATCCTCAATTATCTTGTAATTTACGTTTAACTTGAGTTCAATTTCACCAACGCAAATTTGCTAAATTCCTATATTGATAGTAGCTTAGTGGTTAGGTCCTATCATTAGTCTTATAGTAAAGCCATTAAGGAAACTCTACGGCTAAGTCCTCAATTATATAGAGGAAAGGAACAAGATAAATCTCATGCAAAAAAGAGGTCAACAATCACATAGCCGAATATGCTACACTCTTTGCGGCTTTAGTACAATTATTTTGATACTTTTTTTCTTTCATGTAACTATTTATGTACTTGCTTCTTGGGCACTTCTTGGCGGGAGCCTTTTCTCTTATCAAGTACTCCACTTACACCATTTAATCTTCATACCTAAGAGAGAGTTAAAGTTTGACTCTCTCTTCTTCAATTTCTTAGGTTCTCAACTTTCTCTTTTGAAAAGCCCATTTAGTGTTGAAAAAATATTACTTATGGTTCTCCAATGTAAGACATCTAACAAATCAAAATAAAACATTAAACAAATCAAAAACTAACACTGCAAAATATGAAACTTAAGAAGAAAAATGAGTCCAAGAAATCTAGGTCGCATATTCAAATAGTTAAATATATTATCACAAGCCTTACTCCATGGCTGCAAACACTATGTATGCAGTTCCATAATCCTATAATAAATACAACGGCTTAAAATTTCTCTTTTAATTAATTTCTTCTTAAAACGTCATTCACAACCCTGTGCAAGTTGAGCACTGAGCTGCCATTGGGACCAATGGCCTTGGCTGCGCTTTCCTTCCATTCCACGGCTTTCTCCCTCATCTTCTTTCCATTTTCTCCCCCCATCATCTCCCTTATCACTTCCTCCAACTCATTCCTTTTCACCTTATTGTCAATCTCCATCCCCACCCCCCAATCGGTGCATGCGTACTTGCGATTCGTCGGTTGCTCTCCAAAGAAAGGCCAGCAAATCATTGGAACACCGCCCCATAAGCTCTCTAGTGTCGAGTTCCAACCGGAGTGGGTCAGGAAAACACCAACCGCCGGGTGTGTAAGCACCTCTTCCTGCACGCACCAGCTTGCCATCAGCCCTCTCTCTTTAGTCTCCTCCATGAACTCTGGCGGCAACACAGCGGATTCTCCTTTCACGAGGTCAGGTCGGATAACCCAAAGAAAATTGTAGTGGCTATTCGCCAGTCCCCACGCGAACTCGATTAGTTGCTCATTTGTCATCACAGTTATGCTTCCGAAGTTAACGTATACAACAGACTCAGGCGGCTTACTGTCAAGCCAAGCAAGGCACGTATTGTCCTCCTTCCATAGGCTGGCAGTGATGGCAGTGACAGGGCTTTCGTTTGGAACAACACGGCGAGTGAGGACAGAGAGCGGACCGACGGTGTAGATGGGAGGGAGGATCTTTTGCAGAGAGTCCAGTGTAGAGGCATCAAGGTCGTCGAAGGTGTTGATCATGATGGCATCAGCCATGGAGGCTCGACCAGTTTCGCGTATAAAATAGTTGAGCATGATGTCTTCGGAATCAGTTGTGCGGATGAAGGAGGGAAAATCTTTGAGAGACATGCCATCAGTAAGCCCTGGAATCCAATCCACTCTGGTGTCAAGAAAGCCGTTGTTCATATCCTCCGCACCTATATTCAAACCATATTTCTCATCAAGCACATAAAAAGCAAAACTGAAATTTTCATTATTTTTATTTTGGTTACTTTTGAGCGGAATGATGCCACGATCGAGCAGGTGCTGATAGTGGAGATAGGCGAGGTAACCGCAGGCGCTGGCGGTCCAGAGGAGGACCTCTGGGATGCCGAAAGCTCGAGCGGCATCCAGGGTGAAGGTCATCACACCGTCAGAGACGATGCACGAGACGGGAGGGGAACTTTCATTGAGCTTGGTGATGAAACTGCAGAAGGGGGCGAGAAAGTTCTTTGTTGTGGATTCACAGAGAGAGGGGACGTCCTGCGTTGCGTCATCTTCAGAAATGGGAAGGCCGTCCGGGATGGCCTCGAGGCGGAAGTCGGCGAGGCCCTTGATGGAGTCTGGGCCTTGTGATCGAAGTAGGCGGTTATAGTTAAATTCAGTTAGGACGAAGGTGATGTGGAAGCTGAGGCTGTGGAGGATCTTGGCTAGCTGAAGCATGGGGTTTATGTGCCCTTGAGAAGGATAAGGGATGCACACGGCATGATGCTTCTCTGCTTCGGGGGAGCCCATCAATTGCGCTCGGTCTCTCCCTCTCTCCCTGTCTCTCTCAATGAACACGGCATCGGGAGAACGAACTTGTTGATTTATGTACCTGTGGTGAGGATTTATTTGGCCACCAAAATATCTCGTTCGAATTTAAACGTTATTTGATATGCTGAAATTTTTTATAAATCCCCATAAAAAAATGTAGGTTATTTTGCTGGAATCACAACATGCGTGCTCAATTTAAATATATCAGCTACCTGTCACGAACAAATAGTCCCACATTGGCTAGGTGTAGACAAGGTAAAAAATGGTGTTGATTCTTTTAAGTCCTGGGCTGCCCACCACCCATAAGGGCTCTTTTGGGAGGTGACAAGTGGTATCAGAGCAGACTACTGCCTGCCAGGTGTGTGGACTCTCCATGGTCCAGTGGGACCCTCGGTGGAGCCGATCCGTGACGAGGGCGTCATGTGATTGGGTGGAGGAGAATGTCACGGACAAATAGTCCCACATTGGCTAGGTGTAGGGCCGAAAAGCAGTATTTAAGTCCTGGGTTGCCCACCACCCATAAGGGCTCTTTTGGGAGGTGACATACCGCTCGTGAACTCATTTTATTTTATTAAAAATAGGAATTATAAGACATGTTCATTTTCATGAAAGAATCCTTCTAATTATAGATGATACCAGTCAAAAAAATAAATTATAATATTAACCTCGCTATATGATATTTTGGTCTTTTGTGTTGATATGATCTCTAGTACCTCATCGACACCCCTATATTTGTCATTTTGGGGTTTTTTCTCTATTAGGTGTAGCATTCGGATTCCGGTGGCCGATTAGAAAAAAAAATATCCTCCATCATAGGAAAAGATCCTTTGTCAGTGTGATAAGTCCTCAGTTAGAGGAAAATGTCATTTGTTAGGTAAAAGTCATTCGTTAGAGAGAAGAGTTGGCCAAAGGTAGTCAATTTGACAGGAGCGGACATTACAGAAAATTGCCCTATTCGCGTCAGACATTTTTGACGTGATCGGGCCTTTTTCCGACACTAATCTCATTTAACGTAGGAAAATAAATGATATTAAATTAGGCATCGCGATTTTGCGTCTGCATGTGCGTCAAATTTTTATTAGCGTCAAGATTTGCGTCGTCAGAATCTATCACTACAAATTTACGTCGAAAATGTAAGTCACGCAAACATAACGACGCAGACGCGTCAAAATAGGCTAACACAACTTAACGTCGCCATGGTTCGATGCTCCTGCGACGCTTTAGCAGCCGTATGTATCAATTGGCTGATTGCAGGTTTTAGAGTATGAATATTTTGACATTAATTGCACGCAAACCTACAAGAAACAAAAAATTAATAAAAAAACAATCAAATTTTCACATACATGCATATAATAAAACAAACACAAGAAACAAATTTATATAATGACATCAAATTAGATTAAATATAAACGGATCAAACTGTTCAAACTTCACAACACAAGAAACTGAAAGTTTGATTAAACAAAAATGAAAAAAAATATACAATCGACCTTTATTTCCGGGAAACAACATCAAACACATGATAAAAGTCCTACTCTTTCTCGCCATCAACATCCTGTTTTTCCTCCTCGTCATCCTCCTCAATAACATTCATATGTCTCTTGCCTCGGCGAGCAAGACTCTCCGTCAGACATGTCAGACTATCTGCAAATATGCTGGCCTTCACACATCTGTTGAAGCACTTAATTCATCATCATGACCTGCATGGCAAGCTCCTCATGTTGAGCCTAAAACGCGTTGTTAGGTGATACACCAAAGATATATTCAATTTTTCATATGTATTTTTAAGGCTTATTTTTAGTGATATTGCACTTTAAAGAATTGTATTTTAATGTTTTCTTGTAGGTATATTAAGTCTAAGCATTTGGAGCTTAAAGGATGCAAAAAAGTGCAAAATTTTTAGTCAAAAGTGGCGTTTTCCAAAAGTTAAACTGGCGCCTAGGTGCGAGCGCAAGATTACGGAGAAGACAGCGCCAGATTTCGGCGCCTAAACGCCAGAGACAGTTATTTTCACAAATGCATTGTATTTTGACTGATTTTGAAGAGGTGTTTATGGAGACTCTTGGGAAATTCATCCATTCATTATAAAATAGTGTTTTTTATGTCAATATGAGGGGGTTAGCGTGAGTCTTTAGAGAGTTAGTAAGTGGGGCGTGAGTTCTAAGTTGGTGGAGAGTGTGCAAGTGTCTCTAAGAGTTGTAAGAGGAGAAAAAGTGAGACATTTCTTCTTCCTTATATTTCTAAGAGGGATTTGAGTGTTATTATAAAGAGAGAAATAGATTCAAATGAAGTTCAAGGGATTTGCTTGGGGAAGAGATCGAGTTAAGTTGTTTTATTTTTATTTCTTGTTTTGTAAACTTGCTTTTATATATAATATCCATTTTTTGTTGTATCTTCCTCATGAATTTTAAGTAGATTTCTTTATCATTCTCCATACAAAGAGAAATGGTTATGTGAAGAATCAAGTTATTGTGCAATATTTTAATTTCATATTTGTGATGATTTAAACATCGTGAATTTCATTTAATTTTTTATCTGACTAATTGAATTGTTAAAATTTGTTATGAAACATACAATCCGAAAAGACTATGATCTCCACAATAAAGTAAGAGTCACATTTGACTTCATGGAGGTTGAGTGCAAATAAATAGGGAAATATACATTGATGGGCGTAGAATTTGAGATTTTAGAGTAACAAACTAAAATCTTCAATTTGGTCCAGGCGTTTGGAAACTAAAGCGAGAAATCAGCCCTCAGACGAGGTGAACGTGGGAACTCTGGAGTGAAAGCTAGTATCTTCCCAGCCTAATCGCAGATTTAGGGACCAAATACTGAATTAACCAATATATCCCTTGTAAAAAAGATAAAGAAATTGACACAATATAATTCTCTTCAATTTAACGATTGAGTAACTATAATCTTATTGTAAGGGGAATAATGTTTTCTTAAATTTAAACTCTTCGTCACAAAACCTAGTTTAGTTTTTAGAAAATTTTGCTTCGAAGTTTAGAGATTAGTGTAGTAAACTTAGTTTCTTTAGTAGCATTACACAAACTTCACACAAACTTCAACCTATTTTCTTGCTTAAATTTTCTATAGTTTAAATATTGTGCTTTTGAGTGAATTTCCAAACAAATTTTCACCTCCCAGTGAGATTGATACTCAGGACTTCATTAGAGTCCTTTATTACTTGAGCGATACGTATATTTGTGTTTATAATCTAGTGGCGATTTGAAATTGAAAGTGCATCTAAATTCACTAGGAGTGAGAGCTTTAGATATTTTAAAAGAGAACTTATTGTACTGAAGTAAATTTTATTTTGGGTAATTTGCATATTTTTTAGTACAATAGTCTTATGTGTTATGGTGTTGAAAAACATTTATAACGCATAAAAAAATCACCACATCACTAGGGACACCCACAGATGAACGGGAGTGCTCGACCACAAATTTGATTCCCTTTGCTCTTAGGTCATGTGCTCTCCTCTTCTGCCTCGTCACCTGCGTCCACAACTCAAAATTGGACTGAGCAGGCGTAGACTAGCTAGCACTGCTCTTGACGGACAATGATGTCTGGCTGACAATCTCTCTCTGTGTCTCCCGGAGCTGCCCGTGCTCCTCCTACATAACAAAATTCAAACTTAATTTACATTTTAAACATTAATTGACATATTAATAGCCCCACAAAAATAGAAAATTGCATTTTTCTAACTCACATTAACACGTCGAGAGTGCTCGGATACCAACTGTTGTGTGCACGTGTGCTGGTGTGTGAGGACATACAACTTTGCACTGGATGCCTCTCGGTCAAGCATCTTAACCTTTATAAATGATCAGAAAAATATAAGAGTTACATAGTTACGTAAATCTGTAAGATTCTTTATTTTGAGATAATCTTATCAGTCTCCGGTAGTGCTCTATGTGGAGGATCGAACCTCCAATATGGAGCGCGAACCATATGTCTCCCTCCGTTGTCTGATTCTGTTGATTTGTCTATCTCTTCCTTTGGTATTCCAAAAAAGCCCGTGCTCGGTTCAACTCAGTCCATACTTCCCAACCAACCCACGAGAGCCAAATCCTTTCTTATGCACTGTAGTAAACATGTCCCCAAGACTATGTCTGACACAAATTTCAAAAATCTGTCGGATCTACCGTTGATGTTCTGATAACCAGTAAAAAGACCTCTATGAATTAGAATTTATGTAAGTTAGATTAGTATAAAAATATAGGAATTAGCATTCAACTCCAAATTAACATATCATACCTCAAACTCTATAAAATCCAGATCCTGAGTCGCAATCAGAATCTGCCTTCATGTAAGAAATGGTTGATCATACATACTTCAGATGATCTCTATGATCTGCATCATGGGTGACCTGGAGGGGCAAAACCTACAAATGAAACATTAGTTACATTATATAATGGAATGAAATTTGAAATTACTTTATTGTATAAATATATTTGACTTACAAGTCACCCTCTAACACGATATAGACTCTATTAGCGGAGTTATCCATCTCAGGTGCAGAGAAAAGGGGTCTGGCTCATCATATGAGGAATTTGGGCAGAAATAAGGTGCAGGAGTGGGAGGTGGTGCATGTGAGGGACTTGGTGCAGGAGGAGGGGCTGCAGAAGGGGTCATCGGAGTGGCTGCACAAGTGTTTACCTGTCAGCGCTACTTATGACCTTCTTCAGCCTTTGATAAGTGTTCCCCAAAGTCCTATGAACGGGGGGTCTATCTGGGGGCAGGGTACCAACCATCTGCAAAAGAAAAAAAAATGTATAATTAATAAGTGGGATTAGTATGTAATATAAGACAGAATAGTAAATTGAAGCCCCATAGTATCCTTTAGCAGTAAAATGAGAACAGTGTAGAATGCCAACATGAAAAATCCAATAACCACACAAGAAGGTGTAAGAACTAAATACCAATTTTTATTCTATTTCATTCAATGATCCAAATATTGAAGAACTTAAAATTTATTTCTCAACCTCATCATCATTTTCATCCATATGGACTTCTTCACGAGGCCCTGTGGTATCCTCTAGCAGTAACTC